GTGGTGTTGGGTTGACGGTTGGACTCGATGATCTTAGAGGTCTTTTCCAACCTTAATGATTCTATGATTCTAGGTAATGGGGCGCCTGTGTGTTTGTGTGCACACATCCAGGGAGTGGGCAAGCAAGAAGGGAACAGGACTTTCTGAACTACTTAAAAGCTGTGATCAGATTTCTGACACTTTAGTTTTAAATTACTATTTCTCCAGGATGGGGACTGCTAATTCAGTCTCCTCTGCTGAGTTCCAACAATTGCAGAATCAAGCACCAGCAGTTACATTTCCTCCACCCAGCTGACAACATGCCAGGACTTTGGTATGAAGTGGCAAAGACAGCAGGGGAGCTAGCTGATATGATGAACATATAAGCAGTTTTGGGACGATAGCTTCTAGCTCTCAGACAGGGCTCTGAAGTTAAAATAAAAAACATTAGGTTTGGTGTCAGGCTTACGAAGTAGAGGAAAGAGATGGAGGACTGATATTGATACAGGTAGCTCCAAATAATGGGACCCACTACCCTGAGAGTAATGACCAACTCCTTCGAAGTGAAGCACTCTAGGAACAGGAGGGTGGAACTCAAGCTGTGGCCAATAACTAATCAATAGTTATTTCACACTAAGGAAGTGTGAAAGAACAGGTCAGTGGACAATGAGACATCAGAGAGGAGGATGGAGCATTTCAACTTTGTCTCATTATGTTTCCTTTTTCTCTACCCACCATGGTCCCTAACTGGATATGGGGACCATATGTTCATACAATTTGGGGATCTCAAGACAAGGGGTACAACTGGCAAACCTATAGCCATAGCCTGGATACAATTATTATCATAATATATTATATTATACTTAACTATAGTTCTAAATAGAAGGCTGCAACTTGCCATTTAATCCCACGCCGTGCACCTTTGTGTTAGCATTAAGCACTTGTTAGAATACTTCACTGAATGATACAAGCACCTTGTTATAGTCAATTTTAGTTTCCCCTTGTAGTGTGTTTGCTTCCCTCAAACCTCAGGTTTCAATGAAGGTGAGGGGACCAACAAGAAAAAAACCAAAATACTCGTAATTTAGAATTAAAACAGTCATTCTGATATGCAAGGAGAATGAGGGCTACTTCTAAGTATCTCAAGGCAAGGTTTGCTTTGTTTTAGATATGACCATTTCGTATCAATATCACTGCTTTAAGCTTCTTACATAGTATGGAGCTTCATCACGGCCTACAACACAAGCTGCACTGCTGCTGTTCTATGATTCAGATCTGTACATTCTGGAAGACACTGTTTAAAAATAAATCTAATCTAATGAGAACGTTAGCTTATTCTTTTTAAAACTTTGGGGGACAAGTGATTCTGTAATTGCTTAGTTAACAAGATTCAACAAAGGATGCAGATATCAAATGAATAGTTCATAGTTGCTGGGTATTAACATGCAGCATTGTTATTAAAATCACCTCCTTCTTATAATAACATGAGCAATTTTTGCCCGAATTCTGATATGCAAGGAGAATGAGGGCTACTTCTAAGTATCTCAAGGCAAGGTTTGCTTTGTTTTAGATATGACCATTTCGTATCAATATCACTGCTTTAAGCTTCTTACATAGTATGGAGCTTCATCACGGCCTACAACACAAGCTGCACTGCTGCTGTTCTATGATTCAGATCTGTACATTCTGGAAGACACTGTTTAAAAATAAATCTAATCTAATGAGAACGTTAGCTTATTCTTTTTAAAACTTTGGGGGACAAGTGATTCTGTAATTGCTTAGTTAACAAGATTCAACAAAGGATGCAGATATCAAATGAATAGTTCATAGTTGCTGGGTATTAACATGCAGCATTGTTATTAAAATCACCTCCTTCTTATAATAACATGAGCAATTTTTGCCATAAAGAAAAATTAAAAAAAAAAAAAAATGGAAAATTGCTTCACAGTTGTCCTTTAACTAAAATTATGGAATGAAAAGCAATCTTTCTGCACAAATACAAAATAAAAAAGTTTAGACAAGAAGTAAAGAGCTAATCCTACAACGTCTTCAAACCAACTGGATTTTCAAGTTTCGTAAGTCTTGCAGTATTTGTCTGAATTCTGTCTAAAGCTAAACTTGTTACTGATATCAAAGCACTGAATTTCAGCAATCCACAATTTTAACTGAAATAGATAGGTATAAGTTCACACATTAACTGAAGTGTGCCTTGTATTTGGAAGAGAACGTGTACCCATCAGCATTATAATAATGTGTGACTACAGATTCATCAAGCCCCTTTCTTTTCATGAAACTAGCATCCCTGATTTGCAAAACAGCCTTGGGAACAAGGGTCATTTCTTACAAAAGTCAGCTTCAAATACTAGCACAAATGAGATAAGTAAACTTTACAGGATGAAATGCATCAGCTGTGCCATCTCCTACTTTGTTTTTAAAGCTTTTGCAAAATTCCTGATGTCCTGCCACTGTATGAGAAGCTCAGTGTCTGCTAAAAGCACTCTGACCCCTCTGGACACCAGCATGAGCTCAGCACGAGCTAGGCTAGAGCTCAGCTTCTCATGTGTAACTGCTTACTACTTCTGAACAGCGTGTGGCCCTCAGACTGAAAATTCATGGCACTCCAATGGCAGTAAAAACAACTTACACCAGCTACAAAGCTGACCTGCCATCTTTACTATGACAGGTATCTTTAATTCTGCTTTCCCCCCATGTTTTAGCATGGTTACTGTGACAGCCTCTACAGCATACTCCCAAGTATGTTAATGTCATGGTCTTCATGTATGCCTAACTTGTTTTCCCAAATAATTTTGATTCCAAAATATTGGCTGCAGTGACAGGATAAACAATATCTAACCTTTTTTTTTTTTTTTTTCTCCTCCCCCCCTTTTGTTTGGCTTTGTTCCCCCCCCAGCCTCTACAGCATACTCCCAAGTATGTTAATGTTAAAGGAAAAAAAAAAAAAAGACTGTGCAACATTCAGGAGTGCAGAAGTATAACATGAAAGCAAAATGTTTGCAATTATCTCATACCCCATTATTTTGCACTTTAACTTATGGAGGAGCACAAGGCAGACCTCAGTGAAGGTCTGGGAGAGAAACACGTACAGACAAATAAAAAGCCTATCAAAATATTTCAGAAATGCTGAATAAGTTTTACCCCCCTCAATGGTTATGAGAGTAAAGACTGAAATTTCCCCAAGTGGCTCTGTAATCTGCACAAAACCTAAGGAAAAAAAAAATCTGAAAGTTTTTATTAAGATCCTTTTTACTACAGAACATCTGGAAGCTGAGGGAACTGGGCTTTTTCAACCCGGAGAAGAGAAAGCTTCAGGGGGACCTAATAGCAACCTGCCAGTGCCTACACGGAAGTTATCAAGATGACTGAGCTGGGCTCTCCACTGGAGATTCATACAGCTACACCACCAGCATCTCCATTAAATGTGGTTAATCCAGGCCCCCTCTATAACAAGTGGCAAGAATGGCAGTTCTGGAGTGCAATTATAGGGACTTTTTTTAGCTGTCTGGACAGACAGTTCAGAAGATGCAGGGAGGGATAGAGCACCACAAAAAAAGCTGACCTTCCTTCCCACCAAACACGTTTGCACAATTTTGTAAAATGAGAGACTGAAAATCCAGGCACATGTACCAGAGGGTGGAAGCTCAGAGGAGAAGAAGTGGCAGCAGGGGTGTTACACACTTCAGCCAGAATAGAAAGTGTATAAGGAATATAGAGATTTTTACCGTCCAGAGTGAAGGCAGGTAGCATCAGTGGCCACATACTCAAATAGCACATCATGATGACATAAGCCCCTTCAATTGCCACCTTTCTCACAATGTTTTCCAAAACCAACAATAATACCGTTCAAATTGGTTTAATATCAATTAAGGACTTGAACCTGCTACATTTGGCATCAGAGACTAGAAATTCACAATCAAGTTGTAACGACATCGAAAAAGTGATGACTTCAGGTGTAAGCCATATAATTTATAATTTGACAAAAATATTCAATACAATTATTTCTGCAATTTTAATTAAATTGAATGTAGCTGGATGTTTGCCCTTTAAAGATCAGTACTGATGATCTTATTCTTACTCTTCTTAATTTCTTCCTTAAACATACTGCCAGCATTTAATTAAGCTTTGAGAGACATCTTTCTCATATTTTGGTCATCACACTTTTGTTAGCCACACTGCCAACTACAACCCTCATACTGCCTCAGTTCTCCATTTCACCACACAAAACCACTCTCATAACCTAAATAAAAAATATGAGCATAACACTTTACTATGATTATTCTCCAAATCAAAATAATAATTTCAGAAGGTGTTCTGGAGCGTAACTTGCTTTAACTATATCACTTCTTTCCACCAAATTGTTTGCTGTTTCTGGACTACTATTGCCAGTGATCAAGTTATTCCTGAAACTATGGTTTAGGACAGCCCCTAACCCTGAGCAAAAGCAGATCTACTGTCTCAGAAAAGGGGAGACGGGCATCCTGAAGCAGGTACAGGCCATGTCATATGGCTAAATGTAAAATATAGACAAGTCTACAGCAGTAGCTTACATGCTCTTTTAAAACCTGTATCCCGCTCCTTCACCGTTGTTCTCTTCACCAATACGTATCTCTGCATGTCTTCAGCAAGCAGGGATGTCGGACCCACCGAAGACAGTTGGTAAAGGATGGAAATACATGGGAAGAATTAGAGTGCTATGGATTTTTGAAAAAAAGATTAGAAGCATAACTCTCATTTGCTCTGAGAAGGGATAAATGACTGAATAACTATTCTAATCACTATTCCAAACGCCTAACCAAAGATTAAATAAAAATTATGTTCTGAAGAAAAGCCTGATTCAATCACTTAAAATTAAGTTTGATCTTCTTTTAAAGTACCAATCTAAAGCATGCATAGGGGAGCAAGCTTGCTCTCAACAATTCAGTATCCTTCCCACGTCAGTCAAGTCCTGACTAATTTCCAAGTACTTTTTCCTGAGTCATCCAAGGAGTTCTTCAGATAAAAAACATTTGACATTCCTGACGTTTCTAACGACACTGTCAAAGCTCATTTTGCTCATAAAAATGCACGTACAGGGCAAAAAGCAGAGTTTTCCTCTTTAATTCTATTCCACAAAATAAGTTTCAAGTAAAGACAGGTACACTGTAGGAAACAATTATGTATTTAAGGCTGGACTTCAGATATTAAGGTATCTGTAATCTAACACCTCAGCAGTTTCCAACAGTGCAAACTCAAAGCAAGCAGGATACAAAAATTCAAATTTACTAAGAAGCAATGGGTGAGAAGAATCTATTACTATTGCTTGCACAAGATTCTTGTAAGCATAATTTAAAATGACTCTGAGAATGACTTGGGCTTATTTTTGTCTTTAACAGTGTCATATAAGAAGAAATCAAACCAGAAAGAGCTATGCTGCATTAACCTTAAGGCTCGGGCTGAAATTCCATCCTTAACTCGTTCTATTGTGTGTGGGTACAGCCGGGGCTTCAAACACTGGGTGTTCCCACATGCTCCACAGCACCCCCCGCACAACCGAGTGAATTAAGAATGAAGTTTCAGCTTCAACTTGGAATTTAGTTGCCTTTGTGGTTTTATGTCAAGCCTCCAACACCGATTTGAGCTTGTCCATGGTAAAGCTATGACAGTTGATGGTAAATTAGAATTGAATGACATAAAAAGGGCTCTAGAAGGATGCAAGTGTTTTTCTCTGCAGTCAACATGGCAAGGGATCAGCAGCTGACCAGCTACTGGCGTCTGTAAGCATTACCAAAGACTATGGTTTCCTTCTTGGCTTCCTGCACTGAGAAATGCCTAAGGGCAACAACATTACTTCTTACAATTAATTTTCAGATTGATGTAATGAATCTGTTTATCAGTCTCTTAATTTAGGATGCCAGTAAAGAATTCATGGTGTTCAATTTTTGGCTTTGATTTTTTTGGTACGAAAAATAGCAAGCTTAAGTCAAGTCAAAACCTTGTATTTACTGTATCTTTGAACTATTTTTTTTAAAAAATACATTAAATAAAATTGAAAGGTTACATAAATAAAACCTTGATAACCCTTACCTGTGATTTTTGTAACACTGCTGATCACTGTGATGTGATTTTGGTAACACCGCTAAACAAATTCTGCATCCATTCAAAATGTAAGTACTTGTGTACAAACTCAAATATTTGCAGCTGATTATGAGTCAGAAATGACTTAAAATAAGCATATACACTTATCTATCTGTCCTTTAAACTTAAAATTATGTCTTCCACTTTCTTTCATTTTACTTTTTCTCCCTTTGCACAGAATTTGGTGGTTTGATGTGCCTGCACCTTTTATGTTTTCCATCTTAATTTTTTCGGCTTATAAAATAGTCTACATTTTCCAGTTAATTTTTCCCAACATAATTTTTCTTTCTTCACTCTACTCCTCTCCATATAATTTACTTATTTTGCCTCTTTGTATCCTTTCACTGCCTTTCTTTCCTCCATTATCTATGCACCTTCTTCCACTTTCCCTTTCCCTTGAAAAAAAAAAAAAAGATTAAGCTATACAACTTTTTTTTCCCTCCTCCAAAAAGAGGATGTATGCTTTTTTTCCCTTCCCTGATCTGGAAGGGTGAATTTGCATCACTCATTTTACCTGCTATAAGGATAACTAAACCAATGTGTGGGATGTAATTAAAATCCAGTTGGTGCCAGCAGGCTCTCTGGGAGCCTTAGGTTTGCATCCATTAATTCACACTAGATCTACAGATGGATTTAGCAACTTTGTATCAAATTTCTGTACGGCTGATGAAAACTTTGCAGTTAACTTGTGTCATTATCGTATCTCAATTTCAACTCAATGTAATCTGAAATGATCAAAATAACAGAAAATGTAACTTAACCTCAAACCCTGCTGCACATGTTAACATACCCAGCATGCAAGCTGAATGCACAGAGGATAATGCTTGGAGCTCAAGGTTTGAAAGTTTCATACGATGCAATAATTTCTAGATGAAAAAGGGTTCTGACAAGAAATCCATTCGATAGAAATATGTGACTTACAGAAAGCTCAAGATTGTAATATTTAAGAAAGCTTCTATAAGTATATGCAAAAGTAGTTTGAACATGAGCCATGTATTATGCAGAGTCTCAATCAAACGCATCAGTTACCAAAACCAACATCAAGCTTCAGCTTGATCAGAATAAGATCAGAAGCAAAACATACTTATGAAGCGAATTGATCTGTGTAACTTTTTTCAACGTTTTATTTTTTGACCTTGCAGATCAAACTGCAAGCCCGGACATAAAGTAAGCCAGGAAAGAAGAGGAAAAAAAAGTACAGATTTCTGTTTGGAAATAAGTTCTAAGTATTTGAATGACTGTTTAGCAATGTGAAACTAAACAAACAACTATGTTCCTAAAAGCTCTAACAGTCTTGAAATCCCTAAATATGAAATGGACAAAAGATTAAAATACCTCCTCAGGAGCTACTTCTGAGACAGAGAGCAGACTGCTAAAAGAAGGACAAGCGGAGAATGAGAATGCAATAGCCTTATGTCTGGTTACTCTGAATGAATACACTCCCCTGCTGAATACAAATACTGAGGTTACACTGCTGAATACAAATACTCCAAAATTAGATGAAGCCCTTTCTATGCACTAACAGGTGCCACTCCCCTTCTTTCTTTCAAATAGCTGCTTAGACAATTCTGCTGTGCTAGTACTAATTAGTGACGGTTACATTTGAAGCAGCAGCTGAACAGTTTATATGCATCTAAACCCCTGGCATTTTTGGTTTTAATTTTTCTCTCCCACTCTATATTTCACTGAGTTCAGACTAAACTGGTGCACACAGAACAGGTCTTCCACTGTTACTAGAACCCATACCAAATAGAGAATTAACCCAAATATAAGGATAATACAGAAAACAGTTTCAGTTTATAAGTTTTTTTTAATTTCACTATTCAATTAGGGAAATTGCAGCCTTAGCTGAGCTCATTTTTAAACATAAACTTAAAAAGAAGTCGGAAACTAACACATTTCCACTAACAGAATATAACGAAGACAGATAAGGTGCCCAAGCTCTAACAAGCCAGAGAACCAGTTCATTTAACAAACCATACATTTACACCTCAACTTGCAAGTTATCACACCGCCCAGCTTACACATTCCCCCACCGAGGCTGACACACCGCTCGAACACTCTGGTACAGAAGTACTAAATACATACAGAGTGGCGGGTGGACCACAGACACCTCAAAGGCAACACGCCCAGGAAACGTTCATACAGCTTTCTCGGAAAGCTCATCACACTGCTATTGTATTTGACAGTCAGTGGATTTAAGTGAAAAATGTGTTGTACCTACTTCACACTGATCTTTTTCAGTCAGTCACTGCACATTAAAGTGCAGTTAAAATGTGAAGACACGAATACATTTATCTTTAAAGGTAAGAAGAGCTAGGTATTTGTGAAAGATGCTATGTGCAAATGTGTAATCAATACATGGAGCTTAACTATTTGCCTCTAAAATGCCATAATATCTTTATTTTTTCCTCCCCCTTCTCAATTCAAATGATGTACGGAGTGCCTCTTGGCACATCTTCTCAGGAGGAGCTGGGAGATGCTCTAAGCCATCTGAACTTTTTGCTTACCCTGGGCTTGCAGATCTTCAGGACTTTTCAAGTTAATAGGAGTTTACTTCTTATATGTACTTGTGCTGTAGAAGGAAACCATATGCCCTTTTCAAATAGCTTCTCGCTTTGTTTGGGTAACTCAGATAGTAGGTCTACTTGATCTGTTCTGAACTACGTCAAGAGATAATCCATTTATTACATAGCAGTTCAGTTTAACTGCAGGCCCTTCAAAATGGGACTATATATGTCTGAGTTTGAGAAGTACAACTTCAAACTGTGGGAATTTTTGCAGTCCAACTCATGCCAACTGCACGGTGCTATATATTTACCTGATGCTTTATGGCTTTAAAAGCTTTTTACTGTCATAGTGCTTGGTCCTGTAACAACTGTACAGACAGGAAGAAAGTTAACGGCTTTAATAGTAGGTAGTTGAATGCTAGACCAGTTTTTGTTCTGAACCAGAAGACAAATGAATTCTTGACTCATTGCTTATAAGTAAGAATTTAAAGGAGAAAATAAACTGTTTAATGGTAGATGTAGTAGACCGACCTAAGCACAAGGACCTAAGAGAATGCATGTCCAAAACCAAGACTGGGAAAAGATGACAAGAAGGGAAAATTACTTTCCAATAATTAAAATAAGCAGTACAAGTTCCAAAGAAAATTAAAGAGATGAAAAGCTGAGGATAAGGGACCTAGATTTGATGTAGCAGTATGTAAGAAGACAGTCAAGAGTTAAACAATAAAAACCCAAAGTGGTTAAATTTTCAAGACTTTTTTTTTTGTAATTAAACAGATGTATTGTGTTAGCATTTAATGGTTGCGCAGATTTAAATATATCCATGTCCATGTATGAATAAAAGAGACTAGAAAGATGGCGGCTACCATAACCTGTGTCAGGGCTGAGCAAGAAGTGGTAAATACAATGGAATGGGAATCAAGATAGTAGGGAGTTCAGTGATAATGGGAGGAGAAAAGCTCAATTAAAAAAAAAAAAAAAAAAAGAATA